TCTTTGTCAAGTGGATTCCCAAGACTACGTCAAGTTCTCCTTCATCAAGTACAATTACAACTCCAAGGATTCCCATCAAGATGATGTGGATTCCGAAGAAGAAGAACTAGAGAGTTCTTGAGGGTGACTCCGCCAACATTCTTTCACTCATATCTTTATGGCAAGGGCAAGTGCAATCAACTTCCACATCTTGCACTAGTTCAAGGAGTCACAAACCCTCATGTTGGTAAGGCAAGGGACAAGGTAACCTAATGATTTCATGGATATCATCTTGTGTGTGCATCACTCTATGTCTATGGATATTCTTGTTTGTTCCTTGTGGGACTAACCCATGTAGGCAAGTTGAAAGTGCAACTCACTCCAAAGGATTGCTCCAAATGATCTACTTCAACATTGAGCATCCACATCTTCAACACCTACATGAAGTCATCATCGACAAAACCCAAGGTTAGTTCATCCCTCTAAAGGGGGGATCTCACATCTAGGGGGAGCTTAACTCAAAAAATTGAGTCAAAGCAACTCTAATGGTGTGAACACATAAATGCATTATCTAAAAGTGGTAACCCCACTTGAGCTTAAACGATGATTATGACCTATGATCAAATGTTCTCATTTGACTCCTAAGTCAATATACTCATATATAGATGACCTAGTCATCGCCAATTGTTTGATAGATGCTAAAATTGGTTGTGCATGTTTTGCCACATATTTCATTTGCCATTTTATTGTGTGAGCATGTTGGTGCATATTTTACTCATTCAACGACATCCACTTGTTGTTTTGATTGTTTGGTTCATTCTTCATTTGGCCAAGTGGATGGACAAGAATGCCAAGAACCCTCTCTAGCTATCTATGTTTTTCTCGTCTCAAACTCTATTCATGCTACATCACAAAATTTGATCAAGTCAGATTCGAACCACTCTGTGTGAGGAGCACTCGGAGTCCCCGATTCGCCATAGACTTAAACTTCCAAAATCTCTTTGTGATTCTCGGTCTGACCGATTCCTCCATTTCGGTCCCACCGAGATCATTAAGTTGATCAGAGTTTTCAATCTCGGTGAAACCGATTTGAACTTTTCGGTCACACCGAGTTGCTGTAACTGAACACAGTTATGCATCTCGGTGTCATCGAGTTGTTCCACTCGGTCACACCGACAGGGTCGGGCTATATATAGACACGGGCAAAATTTTGGAAATTTCTCCGAATCCCTTCGCCCGCGCAATAGCTCGCTCTGCCATCGAAGGTCTCCGGATCGTTTCCTCGTCGCCAGCCGCCTCCTGTCGCTGGTCTCCGCCGCCGTCAACGGAATTCAACCCCATCGTTGTCGCCGTAGCGAGTTCAGTGGGGACGGCGGGGAGGCGGTGACTATGCGTGGGGCGGCAGAGCAGAGATGATTCGAGGCGAAGAGAGGAGGATGAGTGGCGTAGAGGCGGCGGAGGAGCGGCGAAGGGGCGGTAGGAGCTCGACGCTACGGCCGGCCGGCTTCGTGTGGCGGGAAGAACGGCGAAGGCGGGCGGCCGTCGGGCATGCAGGGCGCGCCTCCCCTACCCTCGGTGGTGGGTCAAGGATAGAACAAGCTCAGCTCGTCCACGACCGCGTCGTGGAAGCCATTACGACAGCTGGACCTCCGGCGAACTTTCAATTTGAAGCAGAGGCCAAAATCGAATCGGCGGCTGCGGGGGGCAGTCGATGCTAGTACGGAGAGGCGGGCGGAGTGGCGACGGGCGAGCGGCGTCGATTTTGGGCCAAATCGGCCGTGGTCGCGCGGAAACGGGCGGAAGGCGGTAGGGCAGTTGGCACGCGGCTGGCAAATTTACATCTCTTGCATGTGAAGATGTATATTTATACGGCGAGGTGTTATATTTTACATCTTCGGAAGGCGCAGATGATTTTTTTTTCATCTACATCATCTGTTGGAGATGGGTTTTTGACCTCGTAGATGCAAAAGTTTAGTTATTTTGCATCTACATCCTCCATGTACTCTGAAGTCTTCAGAATAAAAATATTCTTCCAAGTCGTTCCAACAACTAAATTACGACGCAGCCGCCATTGACCATAGCAATTTTTGTGTACCCTCGTGGGCATGCCAACTGCATTTTCCAATTGGTGCGTGCTTGCTCCAAGCTAGTCTTTTTCTTTCAATGGAGCTCCAAGTAAGTCTTGACTAATGAGAGACCATTTTTTTCCTATTAAGACAACACATTAAATCGTGGAAGGGACCGCTCTTGTCGGAACAACTTGCCACTGCGACAGTGGCAGTGGCAGTGCCTCCCTCGTTCTTTCAGTCACGTCAGTTCTTACGTGAGGAGACAAGTTGTGAGCAGTGTGAATGTGATTACGAAAATTCAGTGTCAAATCGACCATTCAGTCCATATTATTCCGATAAAAGATAATATATTAATATCAAGTTTTTTTTGCGGGTGATATATTAATATCAAGTTGATACTAATTAGTCATTTCAATCCAAAATAAGGGCCGTGGCCCTACACTTGCATACTCCAGCGAGTTTCTGGTACTCAAAAGAGTGTCACAAAACACGAAGTTCAAAGAGTTGCCACCAACATCTTGCGACAAAATAATCTTTCTAAAATGTTTCGATTAGCGAACCAACATGTGGTTGGATGGTTAGAGGGACTGTGTCCATCAGGGTTCAAATCCTGGTGCTTGCATTTATTCCTAAATTTATTTCAAGATTTCCGGCGATACGCATTTAGTGGAAGGAGACGTTTACGTCAACGACGAGGCGCCTACGGTGACTTCGTAAATCTCAAGATGATATGCCGGCTCAGTCTTTCGGAGATGCTCATAGGGATAGGGTGTGCGTGTGTGCGTTCATAGGGATGAGTGTATGCGCGTGTATGTGATCGTTTGTGTCTGTACTGATGTTAAAAAAAAAGTCCCGATTAGCACAAGAGTCGCGGAATAGGATGAAACCGACAATGCATGCACGATCCTACTCCCTCCGTTCCTAAATATTTGTCTTTCTAGACATTTCAAATGACTACTACATATGGATGTATGTAGACATATTTTAGAGTGTAGATCACTCATTTTACTCTGTATGTAGTCACTTGTTGAAATGCCTAGAAAGACAAGTATTTAGGAACGGAGGGAGTACTTGGCAGTGTCAACAGCTCGCTTGCATGCAGGAAGCGCCGTAGGGAAGGACGTATCGTTTGCTGATCGTGCGGGCAGTGTCGTGTGTAAAGAATTTCGTGTTGAGATGTCAGATCTACTTGCGGTGATAGGTAGCACACCCCAACTGTACCAAAAATACGACGGGTATCCATTAGACTTCACCGTCGTATGGGCGAGAAGCAGGGGATAGACTACCCCGCGAGGACACATGGCCACAGCATGTATCACCTCCAATAGCCTCTACTGCCAAATTTCCACAGTCGCTGGCTCTATCGGCCGCATCAATGTGTGTATCTATGCCGAAGGGGTCATGAAGAATGAGATGTGAACGTTGTAGGAGAGGTCGGCCCTCACCGGACCAGGTCATGATCTAGTGCTCCCTACCCGTACAATCTTCCCGACGATCAAGATGCGAAAAGGCATCACGCCGTCAGCAACCAGAACCCCCGTCCCCAGACTTTGCGGACTGGAATAGGGTAAGATCCACCATCACGGCCGCCACCACCCTACCCTGTCCCTATAGCCATGGCGACACGACAACCACCAATAGGCACATGGGCCGCCGCCACTAAGCCGCTCCCCAGCAACAAGGAGATGAGCCAACCGTTGTCGTCGGCCTGACTGGCTTAGCTTGATGGCTTCTCCGGCGACGAGAAGATAGGCAGGAGGAGATGGGACGGGGGTGGCGGCGGCTAGGGTTGCGCCCAAGCCGTTCTCGACCGTTCACTACATATACTGTTACTAATTGAAATCCACATTAACAGTTGAGTTGTGTATGTGACTATGGAAAGCACAAAGGCGCGCACGTACGTACGTCGATTTAATCCAACAGAACTTAGCGTAGTCCTCCTCCCCATGACAAGACCTTTATCGTGAGGATGAAATCCAAGGCCTCAGCCTAGCCACTGCTAGGTGCGACAGTGCATTCGTAATTCAGTTTCGTCGGCACGTAACAAGACAGTGAACGCGAATGAGAAAACTCAGAGCCGATCGACGGAAACACGATCGATCAATATCGTCCACCATTGTACGTACGAGTAGACCACATGATGACCGATTAATTGCGCTGTACGTGTGATGATTACGGGAAGCAGAAAGCCAGGGGCGGTTCGTACGTTCTACGTACTGTACGTGAGTGTGAAGTATACTTGGACTCCGACTGAACTGGGGTCAGCTGTGCAACTGTTGGATCCATACGTGAGGTCACCTGGCATGTCATGCGTGCGTGCGTGCGTGCGTCCACGTTAGCAAATTACTACTCCGAGCGAGCCGATCCATCCATGAAAAAGTAGCAGGCACGCGCACGAGGATAGGCCAGCCAGGAAGCCACCTGCCTGCCAGACGGATTGGCTTCGGCGCTTGCGGCGACGGCGACGGCGGGCCGGCGGGCGACGGACGGCCCCCGGCCCACCCTGCCGCATCGCGCGGCGCCGGTGGTACGCGCGGCGCCTCCAGCCGGACCGATGGGTGCCCTGGGAGATACGGCGTCGTGAGGGGGGACATGTGCGGAGGGTGGCAGCCCGGGCGCGCCCAGCCACACCCCCACTTTCCAGCGCCATCAATGCGCGGCGCTGCGCTGGCGCGCCTCCGCCCCTCCGTTGCCTCCGCCCGCTCCCGCACGTCGCCCTCCCCCCTCCCCGCCACCGTCCACGTCGTCCCGCCGAGCATGCAGCTCAGCTCAGCTGGTGTATCGCTTGCGCTCCCCGGCCCGGCCCTGCCCGTATGTATATATCACCTCTCACGGCTCGTGTAAAAGCTACAGTTGTACCTACCTGTCTATCGAGTGTCTACAACACACACGCGTCCTCTACTCTACCTGTACGTTGGTACGCACGAGCTGGCGGTCGAGGTTGGTCGGGCGATGGACTCGATCATGGAGCGCCCGATGGTGGACGGCAACGGCGGGACGATCGGGCGGAGCAAGTCGGACCAGCTGCCGCCGGCGCCGGCGTCGGCGTCCACGGCGCAGTCGCTCAGCCGGACGGCGTCGGCGGAGACGGTGCTCAGCACGGCCGACGTGACCAGCCTGTCGCGCAAGTCCAGCTTCGGGAAGCGCTCCGCGTCGGGCGGCAGCGGCGCCGGCGGGAACAGCCACGGGCGCAGCCACATCCGCAAGTCCCGGAGCGCGCAGCTGAAGCTGGACATGGAGGACCTCGTCAGCAGCGGCGCCGCGCTCAGCCGCGCGTCCAGCGCCAGCCTCGGCTTCTCCTTCACCTTCACCGGCTTCACCCCGCCGCCCCGGGACATGATGTCCTCCGCCGAGCTCGCGCCCTTCAGCGACGACGACGTCGACCTCGAGGCCGCCGATACCACGCGCCGCAAGAGCCTCATGGCAGAGCCCACCCTGCCCATATACCTCAAGGTACGTACAGTACTCCACTTGCTAGTACCAAAGCAGAGCAAAAACAAACACATGCAACTGACTCCTAAACTGAGTGCGCCGGGGCGGCCATTGCCATGCGTGCATGCAGTTTTCGGAGGTGAAGTACAGGGTGGCGGTGAAGGGGACGCCGAGGGAGATACTGAGCGGGATATCTGGGTCGGCGAGCCCCGGCGAGGTGCTGGCGATGATGGGCCCCTCCGGCAGCGGCAAGACAACGCTTCTCAGCATGCTCGGCGGCAGGGCCACCGCCGCCGACGGCTGCATCTCCTACAACGACGAGCCCTTCGGCAAGTCCCTCAAGCGCAGGTAACTTCACATACCTAGTTCTACCCAGTTAACCCTAGCAAAGCTAGCCATAGCTAGAGTAGGGCATGCTTAGTTTACCTCCCATTAATTAGGCCCTGCGACGAATAATTTCTCATTAATCAAATCAAATCGTGTCGCGTGGCTTAACACGATGGATGCATGGGAGGTGCATGAGGTACGTGTAGCCCATGCTACAGGTACGTCACGTACGTGTAGCCCATGCATGGCCGTTGCCTGTCAGAAGTGTCGATCGGCTAATAAAGGAGGGCTTAGCTAGGCACGACTCACGGTTATCCTGCTAATCTGTCCTGGTCGATCTCGTGGCTCTTGTTCTTCCCTCGCTTGCCGGCAAGATAAAAGGTGGCCTCCAGCTGCCTGGTCTAATTAGGTGAAGACTTTTTCTTTTTCTCTTGAGATAGAGGCTGCAAGTAGCTTGACTTGTCAGTCTGTCGTTGCATTATTTTTCTAAGTAGTTAGGTTGTCACTCACTACATGATGTCTTTGTCTTGTGTCTGTTCCTGTCCGCGTGACTACAGTGAAAATTTTCTTCTTCCTCCTCTTCTTAGAAAAAGAATGACGAGTCTTTTCCTTGTGAGCTTGTTGGTGCACTTGTTTTTGGGTCAATAGTGAATTTCTTTTTTGAGAGCATGGTAAATAATGAGTGGCGGGCTATTTTTTATATAATAAGTGGCGACCTATCGTGATTTTTTAGAAGTTTTTTTAGGGAACTTTTTGAGAAGAAGTGGCGACTTACCCCGAAAAAAAAGAGAAGTGGCTACTTAGTGGTCTTTTTTAGAACACGGTACAGACGCGGACTCTCGTATATACATGCATACACAGTGGCGGAGACAAGGGGTGCCAACCAGGGTCCAAGCGAACATGCAAATATTTCCACTACGGCACTGAGTATTTCTGCTAAAACAATGTATTAGCTTTGTATTCCGTTGGTCTGGCCCTCTCCAAGCTAGTTTAGCAGCTCTTGCCCCGGTCCATTTAGATTTCCTGGCTCCGTCAGTGTGCATACACTCATCTCTATGAACACAAACATAGACCTTACCCCTATGAGCACTTTTAAGAGACTGAGCCGGTATATTTGACGAAATTACCACAGGCGTCTCGTAGTCGATGGAAATATCTCCTCCCACTGAACACGGATCGTCGAAAATCTGGTTTTTTTTTTGAGACATTCCTGAAATAAATGGTAACTTGGCAAGTAAGGGTCTAGGGCCTGTGGCTGGGCCTTGTTTGGGCCAGGCGAAGTGCAACACAAACGGCGGTCCCCTTCTTCACCTAAAAAAAAAAGGCTGTCGCCTCTGGCCTGCTAGGCGAGCCGGCGAGTCTTCTCAAACTCCGGCGACTCTGTAGTGTAGCCTGTAGGCATCTCTCCGGCATCAGGACGTTCGCCGTCGCCTTCCCTAGTGTCCTGATCCTCGTCTCCTCGTGTTCCCTTCACCGTTGTGTCATGAGTCATGACCACCAGCTAGCCGGGTTCTCTCTCCTCCACCCATCACCGCAAATGTCAAGAGTCAAGACGACCGACGACGATCTCTTGGGCGTCCGCTCATCATGGTTTAACCAGTGGCTAAGGCCTGCGCTTCATTGGATCACAGAAGTGAGTTAGAACTAGTACCTGCTTCTTGGTAAAGCAGCGCGTGGCGAAGCCACCTGCCTGTATGTAACCTGTTCGGCAAAATTCCTAACCCAGGTCACTTCTGCATAGTCCTGATGGCTTCTGGTTGCCGGCTGAAACCAACTACATGTATCTTTTGCTTGTCGTCAGTGCATGCACTGTTTGTTTGAATATTAGGATTTGTGAAGCTAGAAGTAGGCTTGGATGTCCCTCTAGTTATGATGCCATTGCTATTCTGACATTTAATTGGATTTTTACTTGGTTTGCAGGATTGGATTTGTGACTCAAGATGATGTTCTCTTTACTCATCTTACTGTGAAGGAGACACTAACATACGCAGCATTACTTCGTCTCCCAAGAACAATGACCAGGGAGCAAAAGAAAGAACGGGCAATGGACATCATATATGAACTGGGCCTCGAGAGGTATATCATATATTTTCTTTGATTTATAAGCATATCTGTTTTGATATATAGCAAGGTAGTTTAGTTAATTGTGTGAGCGTGTTTGAAGGTGCCAGGACACTATGATTGGAGGATCTTTTGTGCGTGGGGTTTCAGGGGGTGAAAGGAAAAGAGTTTGCATCGGAAATGAGATTATAATCAATCCATCTTTGCTTTTCCTTGATGAGCCGACATCTGGGTTGGATTCAACTACAGCGCTTAGGATAGTTCAACTTCTACATGACATTGCTGAGGTAACATGAAAGTAAATTACGCATTAGCTGTCCGCCTGTCCCAACAGTTCAGTTGAACTTTAATTATGTTTATTTGATGCAGACTGGGAAGACAGTGATCACCACGATCCATCAACCATCCAGCAGGCTGTTTCATAAGTTTGACAAGCTTATCCTCCTGGGCAGAGGAAGTTTGCTCTACTTTGGGAAGACAGCTGAAGCCATGCCCTACTTTTCATCCATTGGATGCAACCCGCTCATCGCAATGAACCCAGCAGAATTTCTACTGGATCTTGCTAATGGCAACACTAATGATGTTTCTGTTCCTTCCGAATTAGATGACAAGGTGCACATGGAAAATCAGAATCTGCAGGATACTAATTCCAAGATTAACTTAAGGCCATCAGCACAAGATGTTCATGAGGTGAAGAAATGAAAGCAATGTGCTTGTGTTGTGAGTAGACAAATCGTTTTAGATCTGTACGAATAATTTGTATGTGATTTCATGCAGTACCTTGTTGATGCTTATGAGCATCGAGTGGCATATAAGGAGAAGAAGAAGCTTCTAGCACCACTTCCGATCAGTGATGATATGAAGGCAACAATAACATCTTCGAAACGAGAGTGGGGCACAAACTGGTGCCAACAATATTCCATCCTCTTCTGTAGAGGTCTCAAGGAAAGACGGCATGATTATTTGAGCTGGATGAGAATCACCCAGGTCATAGCTACATCAATTATCTTAGGTTTGCTCTGGTGGCACTCTGATCCCACCACACCAAAAGGTCTACAAGATCAGGTATATGCACACAAATAATTATTTGATACATGTAATGGATAATTAAATTGGTCAATTTAATACTTCTACAAGTAATTAAGGATATGTACCATCATAAGACACTGCCCTCTCGTCTATGCAGGCAGGCTTACTGTTTTTCATAGCCGTGTTTTGGGGTTTCTTTCCTGTGTTTACTGCCATCTTCACATTCCCTCAAGAGAGGGCAATGTTGAACAAGGAGCGTGCAGCTGACATGTACAAGCTCAGTGCATACTTCTTGGCCAGAACGACAAGTGATCTGCCACTAGACCTTTTCCTCCCAGTCATATTTATGGTGATTGTCTACTTCATGGCAGGCCTCAAAGCAAGTGCCATGCGTTTCTTTCTTAGCATGTTGACCGTCTTTCTCAGCATCATTGCTGCTCAGGTATGGCAGTCAAAACTGGTTCAGTCATACAATCAATGCCCATGACATCTCTTATATTGCTGTTTGTGAACTAAGTAAACCTAGATATTTTATATTCTGAAAGTTTTTTTCTGCTATTTAACCATGTGGCCACCATCCATGCTCTAGTTAAAAAAGACTTTATTTTGGATTAATAAAACAGAACGAACATCAAATTCATGTTAAATACTAGGCCTCAAAATAAATAGATGGCAAGCAAAAAAATTTCCTCGGAAAGAAGCACACCGTTATCTAGTCTATCATTTCATCAATGTGTTGCTTATTAGTAAGGGAAAAGGTTTCCTAATCTATATTATAATATTGCACGGTACCTCAAAAGAACATTAACAGTGATTTGAAATCTATGACTCAAGAAGGAAGTTGTATGCAGGGACTAGGACTGGCAATTGGAGCTACCCTCTTGGATATCAAGAAGGCAACTACTCTAGCTTCAGTCACAGTCATGACATTCATGCTGGCAGGAGGGTTCTTTGTAAAGGTGAGAGCGAGTACTATTCGCACCTATCAACCGATACAAAGCTGAATTATTACTACTCCCTCCGTCCCAAAATAAGTGTCTTTTATTCAGTACAACTTTAGTATAAACTTGTAGGGAGTACTATGGAAGGGGCAAGGCTGAATATTGCTTCTTGAACAAACATATGTCTTCAATCTTGTAATAACTAGCATATGGCTTGGGTTACTGACTATTTGCCCTCCTTTCCCCTCTGATCTGCAGAGGGTTCCGCCATTCATATCCTGGCTCCGGTACCTGTCCTTCAACTACCACACGTACAGGCTGCTGCTGAAGGTGCAGTACGACCCCGTGCCAGACATCCTGATGACCTCCGTACCTCTGGATAACGGCGTGACAGAAGTCGGAGCCCTGGTTGCGATGATCATCGGGTACCGGGTGCTGGCCTACCTGTCCCTCAGGCGAGTGAAGGCTTCGAACGGCTAGCAGGGCAAGTGAACTGGAGGGCACTCCTAGTTCTTACCGGCTGTTTTTGATTGCATGTAGGGAAGTCTGTATTTATATTTGCGCCACGAGAAGATGGATCTTTTTTTCCCCACTGTTCTGTCTTTCTGCTACGTCCAGAGCGCGAGCAATGTACTGCCTGTTGCTAGTTAACTCGTGGAACAGATTAATGTGAACAGTGAGCAAGAAAGTGCTAGCAAGTGCTAGCCGTTAACTGTCTTCTGAATGTTGACACTCCATGTTTTTAGTGATTATTGGAATGTTACAGTGAAGCCGGCGACCTCAAATCTAGAGCCTGATGACCTCCGTGCGCCCAGCGTCGCCGCCGCGAACTCTCGGCCATGGTGGCGACTCTGCCTCTCCTGCTCACAGAAGTAGCCGCCGACGTCCGGCAACACACCGACAGGTGTGCTCCATGTAGCATGGAAAATACTAGTCGGAGGTGGAGGTGGAAACCAGCCGCCTCTGAAGCGAAGCGCGGTGAACTCTTCGCGGACCTGGGGTCGGAGAGCCGGAGCTGCAGTTGACGGCGAACGACCGTGAGGCCGGTCCGTCCAGCACTATCGGCACGAAGGTTGTTTACATGCCCGGCTAGTTTCTAGCAGTAGTACGTAGCCTAGTAAGCTTAGTACTCCCTCCGTCCGAAAAACTTATCCCTCAAATGAATGTATTTAATACTAACTTGATGCTAGATATATCAATTTAAAGGATAAACTTTTTCAGATGGAAGGAATACGTACTACCTCTGTTTCTAAATGTCAGATATTTTGGTAATTTCCCTGTAAAAAAAGATCTTTTGATAATTTAAATTAAACTATGAAAATGTCTTATAAGGAACATAGGATATACTCCCTCCGTCCGAAAATACTTGTCGCTGCCCCCTCCTTACCTCTGCAGTCTTCCTTCCCTAACCTTTTTCTTCTGTCTTGTGATCTTGCACCTGGGTGCACCTCACAAGGTTATGTAACATGTGACATGTGACTTTCACAGGTTTTTAACCTGTTTTGAAATACAAGGTTGGCACTCAGCCACCTTTTCTTTCAAAAAAAACAAAATGTCGCATAAATGAATGAAAATGGATGTATCTAGAATTAAAATACATCTAGGTACATTCATTTCAATGACAAATATTTCCAAACGGAGGAAGTAGCTTTGAGTGTTGCATAATGCTGGATTTAGGGTGTCAAATTTGATGCATGTGGCTGTAGATGCTCTCTCAAAGCCGCATCATACGCCTGGGTGGGCAATCCGGTAATGTTTTTTCGACCCAGATGGACGCCTCAAACGGGACTAAAACGTCCGGACTGACCGGCACCCCCCATCTCCAGCCCAAATATAGGACGGATATGGGGTGGCCCGGACACGTCCGGGCGCATCCGCCTGACAAGCCCGGCCCACCATCATCCCACGGATGTTCAAAAAAAAACATCGGCCTCGTCGTTCCGAAACCGTAGCTCACTCACTCTCCTATCTCACTCCATCCTCTCCTCTCCTCTCACCGATTCCGATCGAATGCGGCGTAATGTCGAGCTTCGGCAGCCGCTCCGACGACGAGGTGGATCCGGAGTATGAGCTTGCCCTCTGCATCGCCTTGAAGCGGTCCAAGGTGGACAACGGGGGCAGCTCCGGATCTGCGCCTCGCCGCAGCCGCCGCTTCCCAGTCGATGCAGCTCGGACGCCGGCGTTGGCCCCTTCCGGCCCATGGGCAGCTCCGACAGGCGGCCAGCGCAATCGGCGCCTCCCCCAAGTTATCCCATCGCCCCGCCGGCTGCTGCTCCCCCTTGTGGGCAGCGGTGGGTGCTTGTGCTCGCCCCGCTGGCCTGGACGCGCATGCCGGTGTCATAGGCGTCGCGTGCCCGCCGCGAGAGGCAGCCGACAAGGGAGAGGGAGGCTGTGGAGAGCTCTATCCGCCGCCGGCGTGGGTTACCGGCGGAGCCCGACGAGGACCAGCGGCTCCTCGTGTGGGTCTACCATCGGTCGCTTACGACGGCGGAGACAGACGCTCGGCGGCTTCGCCGGAAGAACGCCAAGGCTCTTTGGCTTGCCATCGAGCAGTCCGAGCGGGAGGCGTTGGAGAAGGCGAAGGAGGCGGCTCGGCTGACCAAGCTCGGGCACCAGCAGGACCGGGCGTCCAGCGCCTCAAGGGCCTCATCATCGTCGACTCCTCCTTCGACAACGACGACGGCTTCTCCTCCGACGAATCGGACGATCCTCCACCAGCCGACGACGGGTACAGCTACGTGATGTCTACTACGCAACCTTCTTCTTGTAGACGTTGTTGGGCCTCCAAGTGCAGAGGTTTGTAGGACAGTAGCAAATTTCCCTCAAGTGGATGACCTAAGATTTATCAATCCATGGGAGGCATAGGATGAAGATGGTCTCTCTCAAGCAACCTTGCAACCAAATAACAAAGAGTCTCTTGTGTCCCCAACACACCCAATACAATGGTAAATTGTATAGATGCACTAGTTCGGCGAAGAGATGGTGATACAAGTGCAATATGGATGGTAGATATAGGTTTTTGTAATCTAAAATTATAAAAACAGCAAGGTAACTAATGATAAAAGTGAGCGCAAACGGTATTGCAATGCTAGGAAACAAGGCCTAAGGTTCATACTTTCACTAGTGCAAGTTCTCTCAACAATAATAACATAATTGGATTATATAACTATCCCTCAACATGCAACAAAGAGTCACTCCAAAGCCACTAATAGTGAAGAACAAACGAATAGATTATGGTAGGGTACGAAACCACCTCAAAGTTATCATTTCTGCTCGATCTATTCAAGAGTCCGTAGTAAAATAACGTAAAGCTATTCTTTCCGTTCAATCTATCATATAGTTCATACTAGAATAACACCTTAAGACACAAATCAACCAAAACCTTAATGTCACCTAGATACTCCAATGTCACCTCAAGTATCCGTGAGCATGATTATACAATATGCATCACACAATCTCAGATTCATCTATTCAACCAACACAAAGTACTTCAAAGAGTGCCCCAAAGTTTCTACCGGAGAGTCAAGACGAAAACGTGTGCCAACCCCTATGCATAGGTTCATGGGCGGAACCCGCAAGTTGATCACCAAAACATACATCAAGTGGATCACGTGAATATCTCATTGTCACCACAGATAATCACGGCAAGACATACATCAAGTGTTCTCAAATCCTTAAAGACTCAATCCGATAAGATAACTTCAAAGGGAAAACTCAATCCATTACAAAAGAGTAGAGGGGGAGAAACATCATAAGATCCAACTATAATAGCAAAGCTCGCGATACATCAAGATCGTATCACCTCAAGAACACGAGAGAGAGAGAGAGATCAAACACATAGCTACTGGTACATACCCTCAGCCCCGAGGGTGAACTACTCCCTCCTTGTCATGAAGAGCGTCGGGATGATGAAGATGGCCACGGTGAGGGATTCGCCCTCCGGCAGGGTGCCGGAATGGACTCCTGAGAGGTTTTTGGTGGCTACAGAGGCTTGCGGCGGCGGAACTCCCGATCCGTCTTGTTTTTAGGGTATATGGTAATATATAGGCGAAAGAAGTTGGTCGGGGGAGCCACGAGGGGCCCACGAGACAGGGGGCGCGCCCAGTAGGGGGGGCGCCCTCCACCCTTGTGGCCACCTCGAAGCTTCCTTGACTTCAACTCCAAGTCTTCTGGATCACGTTCGTTCCAAAAATCATGCTCCCGAAAGTTTCATTCCGTTTGGACTCCGTTTGATATTCCTTTTTTTCGAAACACTGAAATAAGCAAGAAAACAACAATATGGGCTGGGCCTCCGGTTAATAGGTTAGTCCCAAAAATAATATAAAAGTGCTTAGTAAAGCTCATAAACATCCAAAATAGATAATATTATAGCATGAATGCTTCACAAATTATAGATACGTTGGAGACGTATCACTACGCCGGCGACCAGAAGGGGAAAGGGCCGGCCCGGAAGTGCTGAAGTTGATTTTAATTTCAAGTTTTAGATGTAGCATATAATTGCCCATCGTTTGTGTGAACTTTCGTGGATCTTTTGGAGAACTATTGTGCAATTTCTATGTCCGGAGCTGATCTACGTAGTTTGATCGACATTGCATGCTATAGTATGGATGTAGGGGTTCGGATATGAGAGACATGGATGTGGACGACGCGATTTGAGGAGTGCCTGATCACTGTCCGCGGACGCGTCCGGGCGTGTTTGAGGGCCTAGATTTGCAAGTCCGGTTGTAGATGCTCTTACATGACTGGTTGCCCTATGCGTTGGAGAAGTACAAATGTTCACGTGTGGTCACCCTCTGCAATTAAATCATGTTGTGTTTCTTGTCAAAATCCCCTCTTGACTAGAAAGAGCATTCCAAACTGTGAGCAGTGGATTTTCTTCAAATCCCTCTGACCCATATTATTTGTTGCTGATTTAGTACAAATCGAAGGAAGTATTGTCATTCAGGTAAAAACATGGTTTTTAGCCAGTTTCCTTGCTAAATGTTCAATTGTGTTTCAACTAAATGGTAAGGCAGGTTGCTCGGAAAAAGAAGGGGAAAACACGAGCAGAAAACCACGTCCTCTTCGAAATATAGACAACAATGGCAATGTTAACACCGACTCTAACCGGCCTGAGACTGAAGAGTTTAGTTACTTTTGACAAATTAATCGAGTTCTAAGACCCATAATACCAAGATGACGCATAAATACAACACAAACAGTAGAGCATGTTGGACGGGTATCACTACCATGGCAGTACGGTTTCTGACAATTTTAGGTCAATATCTTTAATTTACAGGAGTCCAGGCCTCTCGCGGAGCTGCTCTTTTTTTTTAGGGATCGCAGAGTAGCTGCTCAGTGCTCCATGTACTGGTGTGCCGGCGGGGTTATCTTTGTCTTCCCTCCTGCGGGACATTCAAAATAATATTCCATAAAACAAAGCAATTTGAATTGTTTCTATCCTAAGCAATGAGACTTCAGTATTGTATCAGCTTGATTATATATAAATTTTTCTCTGTCATAAGTTTGTCAAGAGCACATTTTGAACAATGCTAGTGTCTATTTGGATCCTCTCCGCTCAACTGCGCTCCTGAAGCGGACGGACCGGCGCCGAACGCACCAACTCCACGGAGTCAAAAGAGCGGAGCGGAACAGCATGTAGCTCATTTTCACAGAGTGGCTAAAACCGAGCTCCTATATCAGTCCTAACTCCTATCGCATGCTTAAGTAAGAACTGAAGATCATAGTCCATGGTTCACTGGTGGGCATGGGAATAGGAAACTCACCGTATGCACCACGAATCTCTACTTCGCGCCATTCTTGAACAAGAGCACAGCAACAGCACATTACATGTGAAAGGAAATCGTCACAACACCCTCCCTGTCAGCAGCATACAAAGTCAGAAGTTCAGGTACTATACAGGGCTGTGAGTTCGATAGTATATATGAACACTCTGGCAGGTAGTGTTAGGGACTTATATCAAACGTCTGACACTGGCACTGGACAAAGAGGTATAGTACTCCCTCCATTCCTAAATATTTGTCTTTCTAGACATTTCAAATGACTACCACATACGGATGTATGTAGACATATTTTAGAGTGTAGATTCACTCATTTTGCTTCGTATGTAGTCACTTGTTGAAATCTCTAGAAAGACAAATATTTAGGAACGGAGGGAGTATTATTTAAGTTACTCTATTAATAATCATAAACCAGATGTTTCCCTAACATTAATCTAGTTTGGCAATCAGTTAACTATGCGTGTCCCCCGCAAAAAAAATGCACATGTAACATGGACAGTCCCTGGTGTGTGTTTCGGGGAGGGGGTATAAATCAACTGGTAGCAATCAGTTAA